CAAAAACCCTACAAAAATAAATGCATTTATCGCGTGACTATGTCTCTGTCAAGTCGTGTTATATACCATATCTGACTATTATACAATGCGGCACACGATATATATCTCTCTTACAATCGAATTTCGTAGCCCAGCTGAACTTTGGTAATAAAAAGTTCAAATCATGCCGAATTAAATGTCTTTCTCGTTTTCATTTTTTGCATGTTGCCTTAGCATTACTTTGGTTTGTCGGTTAAATAAAGTGGCATTTTACTTAACCATTAATATATAAATTAATTTTATTAAAACATTTTTTTATCCAATTAATGCATTTTTAAAATATTGGAAGCTCACCGAGTTTCCACTTTGGGGTGACCAAGCGAAACAATTGTTCTTTCTCTAATATATACCTACACCATACATCACGGTCCATATTCCGCTGGTCGAAATCGGTGCTTTTTTGAAACTCTTTGATTCTAATAAAAATTCCTGCCAGGCAAACGGACAAGCGAATGCACACTGTATTTCGTGTTAATGACGATTATGCCATCGGTGTTCTAATGAATTTTGTATTTTTTGACAAAATTCAAATTTACTTAAAGTATACCAAACAATTAAAATATTCAACATCGTTATCTATGGTTTTTTGCCTGTTATGGGGTAACTTTCCTTCAGCCTTCGCTGTGGAAAATTCGTGGTTTCGAAGATAAGTAGTCATCGAAACATTTTCGTATATCTTTAACTTTGCAGAGTCACTGATCTGCTAAATGCGACTGCATTGAGCTGAATGATAGTCACACAGGCCTGGGGAATACGCCGCAATCCAGAGACACTCTCACACACATTTGAAAGTTATTCTCAAGCTAATCTTTTTGACATGACATCGATGTCATCCGTCCAACTATCCATCGTCAAGACAAATTCGCAACCGATTAGAAGCACTCATAGAAGCACTAGTTTTCATCAGTGGATCACGTAATTGCTTAGCAGCGCTTTGTTTCATACGAAGATGTGCGAAAATTAACTCGGCGAATGCTTCACGGCGAACAGAAAGTGCAATTGCTTCAAAAGATGGAAGATATGTTTAATTAGTGATGGAAGCATACTTTGAATAAATCGACTGTTATCTATCATTCTTCTGAATTTAATATCCGCTTAAGTGCTTACAAGGGTCAGGTTATATCACAATTCTTTAACTCGAAAATGATTTCGCTTGGTTACCCAATGATTGTCTCAAGGATTTAGGTTTTTTTTTTCCATCAATTTATGCTAGAGGTTTATTTTCAGGGATCTGAAGTATATTTATTGAATATCAAAAGCAATGTATTTGTAATGATGATGATTTCCTATTTGGCATTTCTCATCATCAAAAAATTATTAAAACATTTTACGTTCTTGTCATTGTTATCGTAACTTTTCTTATTAAGATTTATAGATTATGTGCGTACCGGAAAATGTCTGTGATGATACGAGCAGATCTTCCCACGAACGAGAACATTTTTATTATGTGCATTAAAGTATGTTCGAATGTAAAAATTCCTTTAATTGTAAAAGAAAAGCGAGAGAGAGAAAGAGAGAGAAAGAGAGAGAGAGAGAGAGAGACGATTGGAAAAATTTTGATGAAGATTGATGGCACGGCATAGTAAATACATATGTTTAGATATAAATGTTTGATTAAGCAAATTATTATTTGATTGTCAGAGCCGGTTAGATTAAAAGCAATTGAAATAGATTGCCTCTGATTGATTTAGAATATAAGAGAAAAGAGAGAAGTAACAATGTTATATATATAGTTTAATAAATTTTTAAGAAGATAACAATTTTAAAGGGAGTGCGTTTTGTCAAAATTTTAAATTTGCATGAATGTCATTTGAAGACAATTGTTCCATTTCTAATAAATGAAGAATGAAGAGGATCAAATAAACACTTAAGTATATATGGCAGTTGAAAAATTGCAAATTAATTATTATTTCTTTTTTTTCAAGTCTCTCTTTTTTTAAATTAAGTCAGTATGAGCAAATTTTAAGTTGTGCATTGAAGTGCTTATAAATAAATGAATTTGCACACAGTTGACCCTAAACGGTGAGTTGCCGGCCTTTCCATCGTAAATCATGTTCATATGCAGGAGTAAGCAATGAATCAATTATTTCGCACATATGACATCACAAGCAAGACAAGTTCTATTTTTTTGTTGTTGTTTGATTTTTGTTGGCGAGTGCGCGTGTTCTAAGTTTATTATTGCGGCTAGGACATCCACATAAAAAATTTATATGCATAAATTTGATGGTGATTGCAGAACTAATTCAAGCTTGTCTAGCCGTATGTGGCTGTGTTCAAAAACAAAAGTCGAAGAATATGGTGAGGTAAAAAAACAGGCATTCACTACACATATTATTAGTTGCTTTTTCCATATAGTGATATCGAATACTGCACTCCGTTCAGTTGAACTCAAACAAGAAAAGTATTTCGTTGAAATGCAATGATCGAAAACTTTAAAATACATCGTTAGCTATGGATTTAAAATTTGATAAGAACGTTCAACAGATATATGTCCTCTGTTATGCTTGTCTTCACCAGTGGGTAACTAATATTCTTATTGTGGCGTTGTCACTGCTCACAATGCGTTTTCTTACGCACACAGCCTATGTGACCTTAGTATTCCTGAACAATAGTCACAATAAAACTCGCCAACACTTAGAAGCAAATTTCAACAAATTTTTAAGTTCCACGTATTCGCGGCAGGATCAAATCCCAAATCGATTTAGATAAGTTCGTCTGACTGCTCATTTCTCTGATCATCTGTGTGCATGTCTGTGGTAAGTATTCTCCCGGTCGCAGGAATTAAAAATCGCCTTTAAACGCGTATTTGAGAGCAGCTCTGGTTTGAAAAGCGAAACGGTTGGATTTACTCCTTACTATATACGGATTATAACAGACATTTCTACATATGTTCTACGGGTTAGAATACGGTGCTTTTACAAGAGTCGAAAAAGCTATCCACGTTCAACCAAAATTATGTATTATATTACGCGATATTTCATTATTTCATTCTTTTTTTGAGAAGACGATACAGCTGCATAGAATTTTTTTTACTTATTTATGTGATTTGTTGTTGAATATTTTTTGGAGAAAACAATGCCTTTTTTTTGTAGGTTTAAACGATGCCTTAAACGGTCAAGAATGATATACATAAATGAATATGGGCGTGGAAAAGTTTTAATTGCTCTACAAATTTTACTTTCCGAACATAATAATGCAGCAATATGCGGATACTTGAAACTTTAAACGCGTTTTTCTTAAAACATGAAATTTCAAAAAGTCATGCGGCATAACTTCAGCGATTTTGATTTTTTTCGGTCAAACTTTGAACAGTATTTTTAATGGAAAATTTTACAGAGAAGTATATAGAATATCTTCGATAATTATTAAAACAAAAAAATAGGCTTTTCTCCAGTATGTCTCTTCTTCTTCCGCACGCGCCCGCCTTCCCGCTCGTCCCCTTTCCGAAATGTAGATTATGGAATTGTCTTTTCTTTATATGCGAATATGCATCAGTAACGTTTCATGCCTCAGAACCTCTCACATTAAAAACGCTTCGTTGCGATGATTGGTGATGTTGCAATCTTTTAATATTTCTTCTTTGTTGTATGCTAAAATCTGTGTTCAATAACCTTCTCGAATGTCATTGTTGTATTGTCTTCCTTTCCATTGCAGAACAATTGTCAAACAAATAGCGCTTTTCAGACTGTTGCAGTGACGCTACCTCTTCCTCTTAAGCAGCGAAAGCTTACACAAAATTTGACATTAGAAGGGTGCATTCATTGAAATTCATCTTCAGTAAAGCGACTTTTGTTTTGTCTCATTGTACTGCGTTATTGAACTGTCAGAGTCACCCAATTCTTTAATTCATTAAAGAAGCAATAAGAAATGTCAAAGCGCACGCCTAAAAGAAGGAAGGGAAAGGCCTTATGTTTAAAAGAGAGTGAAATGTCACTTGCTTCCAGATTAATCAATCTTACCAATAATACAGAGGTTACAAGAGTCTGAAACGATTTCATCACTGCCAGCACTTTAACAATAAATAATGAATTTACTTGCTACCTTTATTTGTACACATCGAAAGCACTGCAACATAAGTAAATATATATATATATGTGTTTTGTGAACGCATAGTGACCTCTTTATTTAATTATAGTTTATTAGTTACATATAAAATAACTTATGCACTTGTATAGGCGATTTTATAAATGATTTTTAAACTTTATGTATTTGATGGCGGAAAGTGGATTACAATTGGCCACACAAACTGACGCGCATGTAAAAAGATTCAAAACTTGTCAAAATAACACAATGCGCACCAAATAACGGCTAAAAGTTCCCAAATGTAGTATTAATTTTATGTATGTGCGCGCATATAAAGTATCCGTTATGACCAAAATAAACATTGCTCGCCGAATTGCTTATAATACAAAATAACATAAGTGCTATCGACAATTCTGCCTTGCACGCTTCAATATTTTGAGCAATACTTGATGAAAAAATCTCTTTATACTGACACTAGCTCGTCGTATTGCACGAGTTGTGCAAATCATAAATGTCTTAAAGTTATTGTCATTAGAAAGTGAAAGCGAAATGTGGTTCAATCTTTGCAAAAATTTGCGGCTCCTCATTGACGAGATATCTATAAAATCCGAAACTCAGAATAAAATTTTAATAAGAATCAAAAAAACATAAAGTTTGCTTTGGGGAGACCTTTACCAAGCAATTGCGATACGATTGCAAGTGCTTAACTTTTAATGTTATTTACGAAGCAATTAATTCATTTCTCAATTTTTCTATCGCTAAATGCGCAAAAAACTTCGAACTCGTTCAACAGATTATCGACCATGATCAGGTTAGACCAATTCCGCATTTACTCTATACACAGGAATAAAAATGTAAAATACTTCCAATTTTAATTGGTGAGCTTTGTTTTGTCGGAACAATTTAAAGCCTATTTAACAATAAAATTAATTTATTAGTTTATTAGCTATACTGAATCCTTCGACTTCGAGACGGACCACCATCAACAAACTAAGGGATATCATTGCAACACCCGGCGAAAAAATTAAATTGTTATGGGTACCTGGTCATATCGGTTTATTGGGAAATGAGCAGGCTGATCGAGCGGCAAAGTATGCTGCTTCTGTTCCTCTATTTATGAATGATGTCAAGGAAACGTTGGATCTTCAAGGATACATTGGAAGAAGAGTTAAAGAGAAAATTACAGAAGGAAATCTACAATAACATCATCAGCACTACTGTTTTATTAACCCTCAATTAACTCAACCTTTATATCCAACAAATGTTGAGAAAACCAAGATCCAAACATTTTCGAAACTTCGTCTTGCTCATACAAGTGCAGCTCACCAATGGATCTTGAAGAAGTCTTCCTCCCCAATATGCAATTGCGGACAAATTCTCACTATAAAGCACATTCTCTGCGACTGCCTTACCTTTACCTTGGCTAGAAGTATTGCAATTGGAACGATTAATCCTATGGACACTTTACAATCAGCTACAGATGAGAAGATCAACACAATAAATTAGTTTATCAAAACTACGAGGCTCAATATCTAATGTACTTTTATAAATTAGAGGAGATAGCCTTTGTTGCTAGTGCTCAATGTCTTCTTTTTTAGTCTAAGGATTTATTTCATTAGTCTAAAAATATAATAATAATAATAATAGTTTATTAGCACGTAAACAATAAAATTTCTGAAAACGAACGTATTTTAGGTGTCTAAAGCGCGTTTACTCTTTTGAAGCAGAGTCTGTTTACTTAACTGTCCTTCGACTTCTTTAATTGCTTTCCTATTTTATCGCCTCCTACAGAGGAACGGCAAATGACGTCTGAGCTGCAAGTTGAGGAGCGTTAGCAAAAACCATAACATAAGCGCCTTGTTTGATTTTGGATTTGAATATGGTTACAGGGACTTTGGAAACGATAGTGATACCAACGATAATAGTAATGGCCGATGAATATGACTACTAACTATTTTCATACCAGTTTGTTTCTGCTCTTTCTTCTTCCCTTTACCAGCGATTGCTTGAGTGATATACGAGAAAATTAATCTTTTTCTTCGTCATTTCCTTTCGTTTTTCGCGTACAAATATTTTCCAAGTTTCTTTCCACGGAGCGAAAATCGTACGCTTATCTTTGAATTTTCTTTTCTTAGAAAAATATTTTTCTTTTAAATTCTTCGACATCTTAATTTGCTTTTCTCATAAATTATTCAAGGATGCCGAGCTTTTATTTACTTTTTTTTGTTAGTTCACAAAACAACGTGGACAGCGTAAGTATTTTTCATATTTTCATTATGCTCTATTAGTTTTCAATTAAAAAATTTTTTTTTTTTAAATTTATTTCGTTTTATTTTAATTTTAAATTATATATGTTAAAAATTAACCTGTAAACTACGTAATCCATCATTTTCGAGCGGTGTGAAATCCTAGGGAAATCTAATTATCGCTGCCCAATTGGAAAACTGAAACTATGGACTTTAGTTTTTCAATTAAGGTGTGTAGGTAACGCGTACCAATAAAAAACTAGTACTCAAAATTTACCATAAAAAAATCCAAAGCGCGATTATTAATAGTAATAAATTATTTATTACAGCGTATTAGGTAAAATATTTCAAACATTCTCTTAAACAGTGGTGTAAAAATGTTCCTGAGCAAAATGTGAAATCGTGTTAATTCAGTTCGCTTCGAGATGAGTGTTACCTTTTCGTAAATGTTCTATTGTATTCGCTCATTCTCCCAGCTGTTGAGTTTTGGGATTCCTATGAGTCCCGCTAACTTCTTTGATTCGGAGCACCGTACTGGATGTCTAGCGTTATGAAGTATTCGGCAACCACTTGGTTTCTGATTGTGCAAATGGCCTCGTATTCGCGGAGGGTAACGTTGGGAAATTTCGCTCGTAGCTTGGCAGAATCTTTGAGGTTTTCTTTTATAAAATATTTCTATTAATTTTTTTTTAAATTTATCTTTAGTGCACTTTTATGTTTAGTTCATCATAATTCTTTTATAACCTCGCCCTATTCATCAGTTGTTTTCTACTTTATTTTTGTTTCGCGCTGTTGGCTGACATTCATTAGCGTACATTCTCGACAAATTATACACTTGACAAATGCATAAAAATTGCTTTCAAGGCACAATTAAATTGTGGTAGAATACAAAAGCAGTATAGTAAATTAATAAGTGAGAATGTCACTTAATGACTCCACGAATATATACGCGTACATTTATATAAACTAGTGTATATATATATTTCATATCCATGTAATAAAGTTCGTAAATAAATGTGTAAATAATTTATATGAAGTATTTTCCAAATTTTCTTCGTCTCACTTAAAAAAAATATTAAAAAAAAAAAAATATTAAAAAGATACGAAGCAATATAAAATAACAATAAATAAGAGCTTGTGCCTTGTAATAGTCAAATTTTTAAATACCCATCACCTATAATATGTATATTATAATTATAATTCGTATATACTTATATCATATATCTCCGCTGAAGGATTAGGAGAAGCGTATGCTAATTGTTGATAGTCGTGAGAACATCATTTGAGACTAACCTTGGTCAAAATCCAACCTTGGATCTCTTTGAATTAAGACTATACTTTATGATATCTGAAATTGCCGTTAGTTGAACTGTCAACTTACTTCGACTTGAAAATTAACAGGAGATAACTATTTGTAACAAAGTAAGTAAAGTTTTATTATTCGTTACGTGTCTTGCAAGAGCATTGAAAAAACGTAGCATAACGTGCATATCAAAAAATTCACAGAAAGTCGAAATACATTTTTCTATCCGTCTATCCTTGTGTTATAATGCAATTAAAATTTGAAATAACAAAGAAGTTACATTTAACTTTGACTATTAACTTGTTTTCCGTTTATGATTTGCTAATGATAGCAAAAATCAGCGAAGGAACGAACCAATTAAAAAACCTTTCATTCTAGAACTGAGAAAGATTTACATTAACATCAAAGGAATCCTTAAGATATTCACTCGTCAATTTGGTAAACGCCGGCATAATCTTATGATTAAATACATGCTTTGCGAATGCCAAAATCTTTCCAATATTCGAGGACTCATTTTCGTAACGTCAAACTCTATGAAGATCTTGAAAGTATTTGGAGAACGTAATATTAATGAAACGCTTAGATTAAAACGACCGAGACACTGATCATCCATTCTATCCCTTGTAAAAAAGGAGGCCGGCAGTCTTCGTTACAGGTGCTTATCTTACCCTTTAATTGTAGAATTTATTTCTTTTATGATAATAATAATAATCGTCTAAATTGTGTTTGCGTATCTGTAAATTTTCAATGATTTCTATTTGCTTTTAAATCCGCCTGAGTGGCCGAGTAGGCAAGAGTCTCGACTAGTAACTCAATAGTCGTGGGTTCAAACCTCAAGTGCGGTAGAGTTTTTAATAAAAGCCGATAGCTCTAGATGCTAGTGCTTTAAGACTTTAGTCTTAGAATTTATTCTCTGGCTAAATTTATAATAATAATAATATTTGCTTTTAAAATAAATTCATAAAATTTAATTATTTTGATTTATTTTTAAAAAGGGACCTTTAAGGTTCAATCAGCGTCCATCGGGCCTTCAAAATGGAAAAAGAAGGGAAGTACGACGAGTCTCAGGTCAATTGACTCGAAATGGAAAAATTGGTCTTTCGCCGGAGGTACATTTAAGCTGATGATAGCCTTCGTGTAGGGGCGGGGGGGATTGTTCATATTGCAAAACGTTCGCATCAGAAAGAACCGCCTGTAGAAGTTGCCCAGCAGCTACCGATGGAAAAACGTAAAAGTCAGAACAGTTTTGAAGTAGGTCAGAAGAAGTACGCTCTTTGATATTACAAGGGCTTCAGCTGACAATTGATGATAAACATTGAACTTCTGAAATTTTGTTTTTAGACAAGCCGTTTTCCATCGTTATCGGATTGGTCTCCGCGCTTTAAGATAGCGTAACGTCAAATCGTTGAAAACGAGGATCTCGATTGTTTATCAACAATTCTCTGTCAAATTCATGTGATTACTGTAATTATTTTTTATTTTTCATGTATTTTTTAATTCATTTATTTTGGCACGAAATATGATGACATTAGTATTATTCACTGAATCGAAACATTAAACTTTTTTCTTGCTGTGCTATGCAAACCGGAACACTAGATATAAAATGGACCGAAATAAAAAAAAAAAAAATTGGAAAAGCAAATACCAACAAAGAGGATAACCGTAAGCAATAGCCATGAAATTCAGCTACCGTTTAATAGTTTTGTCCTCCATGAAATGGCCAAATGTTCAAAACCAATAAATAACGAAAGTAACGTGAGGAGAGAAATATAATAAAAGAAAGAGATAGTGGCAAAGAGTGAGATGTCGTACGAAATTAAACATGACCCAATTTTTTTAGAGCATAGCAAAATGATGCCAAGAGTTTCGCAAAGAAGCAGAGTAGAGAGGAAAAACATTTAACATGGATTTAAAAGACGCATAAGATATTTAATCCATTTTTTTAAGTACACTTCCAAAAATTTTAGATAATATTTTTGTTTGCCATTGCCGTAGAATGTTGATGAGAATTGTAAGAAGAACGAGAATGTAAAGCAAATAGAAGATCTAACCTCAATTTTTATTTATTAAGTTTTTAGGAATTGAAAAGCTAAGAATATACAAAAAAAAAAAATAAAAAAATAAAGAAAAACAGAAAAAACCTCAAAAACAATTTTAAGTAATAGAAAAGTGGCAACTTAATGTCAAGTGCAGCTACTTGACAAAAGAATACCATGTATGCACAGGCACAGTTAGACGCACATATGCAAAAGCAAATCTACTTATATGCATTAAAAAATAATGTTGATACAACCAAACATAGCTCTCATTCTCTTTTCACATTTCGCAGGTATTCTTGGTTTATACATGGTTTAGTCGTGTTTTTCTATTTTTTTTTTTTTTTTCTTTCTTTTTTTTATTGAAATTTTATAATTCCTTCCGAAATATACATCAAGCACCTTTGGGTATTTAATTTAAATCGACGTCGAAATCTTTGTTGTTTTTGCTTGAAAAACTTAAAGCATAACAGTAGGAAATTGGCGAACAGTAGGCGGTGGCTCTTAAAACGGAAGCGAATTTGGAAAAAAGAAGAGACCATTTAAACGTACTATTCAGCTGTGACAAAATGCCCACTTCATTAAGCCTATCGCAGATATTTACCATATATGATATATTCAATAAATAAAGAGCTTTTTAAATA